AAGAAATGTACAAAGCAAATGTAAAAAAAACAAGCTAACATCCCCGAAACAGTGCTTGCACCTTCACTTCTTTTCTGTTCCTTATGCCCATTTGATAATTTCGATAATTCAATCATTGCACCGCTTCAAACACACATACATACATGTATATATGCCATTCCTGAATGATCTTCACGAATTTTCTTGAAAATAATTACATATGAAAAGAACGAAACGGTTTGCACCACATTAACAGCTCTGCTATCTTTCCAATCATAATCAATTTACTAATTCCGTTCAACACTAAAATTAATGGATTACGGCCGCTCCATACTTTCCATGGTTCGGACTGGCCGTTTACTTCAGAAATTACGGCTCGGCCTACCAAGGGCCGCAAAAGCCTACCAAAGGCCGCAGATTATTTATCAATTTAACCCACTCTGGCCGCTCCACCTGGATCGTCCACTTATGATTCGGCTTTCTAATGGCTATTACTTATCATTTCACTTTAACAGGACAAATTCAACAAAACTTCTCTTTTCCTAGAAGCAAAACAGGCAATTTTTCAAAACTTTTTTCACTTTCTCTCCTATTCCTGCTCATCGCTTGGTTGCCCAATCATCATTTTTTGGCAGAATTTCATACTTTTTGATGCATTTCACTCTTTCGAACTTAAAATTTCATCTTTACCCAATAATTTTGGCAACACTGGGCGCAAAAAAGAGGCAAGTGCCTGATCCCGCCAACATTTGGCTCAGGTTATTGCGCAAAAATAGCCACTAAGCTTCACTCTCCCCTCTCCTCTGCTTTGTTATTCCAATTCCTCCACTTCACCCTCTACTCCCATAAATTTCTTACTTATCAAACTACTGAGTCTGCAAAAAATAAATTCGCAATTCACATTAAGGTGAAGTCGTAACAAAAAATCGCTTACGGAGCAAAAAACTGCATTAGAGCCAGTTTGAGCCGTAACTTGGCAATCGTCCATTGCAACTGCTTGAACCACTAAATCAAAAAATTCATTAGCTTATTATTACTATCTCTTGTTTCTTCTAAATTATTTTCATAAAATACTTTT